AGAGGCAGCCGCCCAGCTTCCCCCTCGCTACTTCAAATAAAGGGCAACTTTTTTATGTTGAATTATGCGAGTGTGCATGTGTGTGTGTGTGTGTGTGTGTGTGTTTACATAATAATTAAAATTTAGCGGCGCTCAAGTACAGCAGCAGCAACAACAAGAACAACCGCAGCAATTGCTACAAATGACGCACTTTCCAAACACAAAAAACAACAATTGCAACAACAACAACTGCAACAACAACAACAACTGCAACAACAACAACAACAACTGCCGCAACAGTTTCGAATTGCACAACACTGCGCCACAAAACAATCAAAATGCGCTTGCAACTTCAGAGCTCCACACTTGCCCCGCCCCGCCCCGCACAGCACCGCCCACAGCCCCTCGATCCACTCAACAAACAGAAACGACCTTAACAAGCACAGCCTCCTCTTCAGCCCCCCTCTTCAGGCCCCGTCTCAGTCGCAGTCCCGACCTCAGCTCGAACAGTCTTGAAGTTCTTTCTCAATTATGCGGGCACTTAGATATCCACACACACACACACACACACGCACACACACATGTTGACATTTATCTAGATACAATAGAGTATTAATTTCAAGTCGTCTCGGAAATAGATGTGTATATATTCATAAAACATTGACTCGCATTCCCAAGTGTGTTTGCAACACACTTCAGTACTTCTTTTTCAAGGCTGCGAACCGGTTTTGAACCGGAACTGGAACTAGTTAAATCAAAATTATGTTAAGCTACGAGAACTATTCATAATGCATGCTCAAAATGTGACCTGAATTATCATAGGTCATTCCCAAAGCGAGTCACTGGTTCGAACCCAAGCCTGAGTAACCATATGTGGAGAAACAGGTACACGAACCGAACCCCAAAACGAGGCAGTGGTTCAAGCCCAAGTTGGAATTGCCATATATGGAAAAACAGCTTGACAAACAGTTCCTCAAGGCAGGGCATTGGTTCGAACCCAAGCTTGAGTTGGTTCAACTCAAGCCTGAATTATCAGTGGTGGCAAGAACAGCGTCACGAACCGAGCCCCAAAACGAGGCATTGGTTCGAACCCAAGCCGGAAAAGAGAGGTGCTCGAACTCCCAGCCGAACCTTAACAACAGCCAAATTTAAACATGAGCAAATGTTTCTACAAAACAGAAAGATGCCAACCAAAAAAGTATAACAAAGCGTTACAAACACTTTGCAACACCAGTGTTGTAAAGTACTAAAGTACTTGCATGGCAAACGAATAAAACAAGAGAATATTAAGATAATAATATGTTGGATGTTAACGTAAAGGATTATCAGGTAAAGCATACTCATCGAGCAGTCCCTTCGGGATCCGCATTCGAGTCCCAGTCTAGTATTTTGCATGTAATACTATATTGGCTCTAGATCACAGTCTAGTAAGTTTCTTAGTTAATAACTTTATACCATGCAAATCTTGCTTTTCAATTCATATAAAAGATTTCCTCTACTCAATTTGTGTGCAGAAAGCGATTACGAAATCAAATTCGATTTCATGTTCACAAGGTTCCAATAAACTAGAAATATGTCAAGTGCAATATGATTATATGTATTCTGATTCATAAGGCTGAATGTTATCTAAATTGAATTTAAACAATTTCGAGAAGTGCGAGCAACACGAGAAACATGACAATGGAAAGAGAATAATATTTCAATATTCCAATCATATTCATATATTATTCCTTGGGCGTCTATACAGAATGGGCACAGCTTGGCTTAGACAAGTTGAAATGTTTTTTCCCATATTCATGAAAAGGAAAGATTCAAGTTTCGTTCGATCGAACTTTACTTAAAGACTTGTTGCAATTTCACACGCAACTGTGAAAAATGAGCGGAAATTGATTTTGTGCCAACAGAAACTTGACGTGAATTTCTGCAACATTTTCTAATATCTTAAGACGTGGGATTTCAGGATAATAGGAATGGATGGAAAAGTATGGAAAAGTATGCCCAACATTTGAAGCTAAAAGCTGCAACGCGCAAGGCCGGGCAATGCTCGCTAGCATACATGTTTTTATATATAAATATATATTTTTGTGCATAAATCTATAAATCTAGTCAAGTTTATAGATCAGCTAATGCTTGAATTCGTGGCTCGAGTCGAAGGCTTTTATGATTTGTCAAAAGTTGCCATGTTTATAATAATAATAATAAATAATTATAAGCTCTAATCAGTTCCAGTTTCAGTTCCAGTTCCCGTTCCCGTGCCAGTTGCAGTTCCAGTTTTTAGTTCATTTCGTTTGCACACGCCAAATAAAAGTGCCCCCCGAACAACAAGGCAAGTGTCGAAAATTCATTAAATTTACAAGGACACAACTTTGGACAGCGCACTCTCGCTTTGTATGTGTGTGTGCGTGTGCGTGTGTGTGTGTGTGTGTGTGCGAGTCTTTTTTGTGACCTCTGACATTGCATTTAATCTCGTTGACAGCACTTAATACGCCCCCGAGTAGTAAAAGCGGCGACGCCCGGCTAAATAAAAGCTCACTTCAACTTGTGGGCGGTGCGGGTGGCGCAGGGAGAAGGCGTAGGGGGAGGGAAAGGGGCGGTTGTTGTTGCTGGTGTTAGCTTCGGACTGCTTGTTGTTGTTGTTGTTGTTATTTTTGCTCTTGTGTGCAGCGGATTATTTAAGTTTACAATACGCTTAGGGGTAATTTTAATCTGTTGCAAATTGTTTTTTGTTGCTTGCCTCGCTGCAGACGCGCCAACCCCCTCAAACCACCCCCCCCCCCCCCCCCACCCTTCAAACCACCACCAACCCCACCCCCCTCTCCCCACCGCCGCACCGTGACAACAGCCACCCAAAAATCAGCATTTATAAAACATCTTTTTGCATTGCCTCACTTGCTGCTGCTCTAGTGCCTGTTTTTATACCCTGTAGCCGTTTGAAACAGTCTAAAGAAGGGGTATATTGTTTCTGTGCCAACGTATGTAACAGGCAGAAGAAAACATTGCCGAACTCATAAAGTATATATTATATTATATATAAGCTAGGTGCATGACATTTTAAATATTAAAATATTTGTTCTCAATCGATTTGAAGACTTCGTTTTTAGAGCATAACTCGAGCATTATAAGAGCTGGATTGGCGTGTAGCTTTTCGTATATTCTTGTATTCGATTTAAGATCGGACTATAGACACCGAAGTTAAGCTAGAGCACATTACGAAAGCATGGCGTGCGGCAAATATGGAAGGGTATCTACTAGTCGCGCACACCCTGCTTAATCACTTTTCGTGCTTTTTTCATGTGGCATATACTTGCTCGCATTTGTGGCATATTTCATGGATATGGTAATCCACATGCGTGTATGTGCGCAGGGTTGGGGCAGGGGCAGGGGCAGGTTTCGACTGTGATTTGGATTTTGGTTTAGCTGCTGCAGGGGTCCGTCCGTGGGTTGTTTCATTAGGCGAGTGAGGCGGCAAGTGGGCGTGGCTGTTGGCCCGTTTGGGGAACAATTGCAATTTCACTTTTTTTTGGGAAAATGGGTTTTCATTTTTGTTTTTTTGCATATACAATTTATGCGGCAAGCACTTGAAGGAGGGTCAGGGTCATACCCAGGGAAAATTCGTTGCTTTATTATTTGATGGAACGAAACATTAGGAAGAGGCAAGTGAGACAACGCTAAGAACTTGAGGAACGTTGCAGGCAATGGAACAATGCATGTGCAATGAACTCTGAGTGGTACACTGGAAATGGAACATATAAGCAAAGAGTTCAACTTGATGTCCTGTTGCGAACTAATACGGTTTATTCATTTCAACTGTTCCGTGGATGAAACACTTCGGGCGTGAGGGACTTCAAATGGAACGATGGAAATGAAACACAGACTTAGGTAAAACTAAGTTAATTTTTTCCATATCAACATATGGCACAATTGGGCATCGGATGACGATTGTTTTATTCCTGCTTGCTGCGAGTGGAACAGTGGCAATGAAACAGGGCAGAAAGGCATGCAGGGCGCACAGACATGCATGAAATATGCCCTATTAGATTCCTGATTACAGTCACACTGTTTTATTTCTGCATTCCGCCAATTGTCACTTCATTGGAGCAAGCCATGACACAAAGTGGAACAGTGGCAGTGAAACGCTGTTTTACTTCAACATTCCGTTGAGCAGGGCAAAAGCGATTGTTTCATTCCCACTTGCTCCGAGTGTGAACAGTGGCAATGAAACACGGCGGAGAGCCGTGCAGGGCGCACAGACATGCATTAGATATGCCATGATGCTGGCTGCGATTCCTGTGGACCGCCACAGTGCTTCATTTCCGCATTCCGCCAACCATAATCTCTGTGCTGAAATGTGCAAAGCCTCACCTTTGCGAATTCTAGTGAACGATGCAAATGGAGCAAAGCTCTTTTAGCAGCGGCATATGCAAGTACTTTTTGATACGATTAGCAGCTCAACATGTGTGCCACATAATATCCGCACATTATTTGCGTTTTACAGAGAATTACGCATAATTGGCAGCGAAGCGGCACGTACAAAAATCAATTCCCATTTACTGAATAAGTGTTCTATAATTTTTATTCTTAATTATGCCTGCTCTGTGTAGTTTATGCTAAATATTTCTCAATTACAACAACGATTTTCAAATTCGTTAATCAGAAGGCAAAGAAAGACGAAGAAAAAATTGATTTGAAAATTGCGAATTCTCCACATAGCGACACGTGGCCAGATGCCAATGAGATCAGCGATCGCCGCTGACATCACGCAGAAAAAGAAAAGTACATTAAAATAATATGGGAAACCATAAACATAAATGGGCAAATGATTATAATTAAAACAAATCAATGGAAACCCAAAACTGCCAGCTATTAATATATATATATATATGTATATAAAGAAAACTACTTCAGAATAAAGAAAATAAAACCAAATTTTGATCGCGCATTCGTGAGTGAATCAATTAAATGAATAAAAATAAGAAAAAAAGAAATAATTGAAATTAGAAAAATAATTAATTGTAACTCACCCTGTGGCTGGGGCTCGGGTTCGGGTGCGGGCTGACGATCTTGACCGCGATCTTGATCACGATCTTGTTCGCGATCTTGTTCGGGATCTTGTTCACGATCTTGATCTTGTTCCTGATCGGGTCGTTGTTCGGGTTGAGGTTCGGGTTCGGGCTCATTTTCCTCTTTATTGGGGCAACCAGCCTCGTCTGTCTCATCGTTACAATGTATCAGGCCATCGCAGCGCATAAATAGCGGCAGGCAGCGATCGTCGCACTTGAATTCATCATCTTTGCAAACTAAATAAGGTAAAAAGCGCAAAGCAAAAGGAATGCAAAGAAAATAAATAAATGAACATATCGACTTAAAATAGTTGATGAAACAAAGTTTACAAAACGGATGAGCGAACGATGAGAGATTGATAAAAAAAATATCGATCTAAAAAGAAATCGAATCTCGAATAGCTGATGTATAACTAAGCGATTGATCGATTGATTAAGTGATTGAATGAAACTTGGTCTATGTTTGGGCCGAATTTAGGGTTCTCTTAGACTTAAGATTAAATGGCGATAGTTTTTTATTTATTGATTGACTGATTAATTGCAAATTGATTGACGTAATAGAATTGATCATAGTTTTTGATTGAATTGTTGATCGATTGATTGATTGATTGTATGAAACATGTTCTAGGGTTCTCAATACAGACTTAAGATTAATTTTTTATTGATTGATTGATTGATTCATTGCAAATTTATTGACGTAATAGAATTGATTATGGTTCTTATTGATTTGTTGATTGATTGATTGATTGATTGATTGTATGAAACATGTTCTAGGGTTCTCAATACAGACTTAAGTTTAATTTTTTATTGATTGATTGATTGATTCATTGCAAATTGATTGACGTAATAGAATTGATCATGGTTTTTATTGATTTGTTGATTGATTGATTGATTGATTGATTGATTGTATGAAACATGTTCCACCGTAAGGCTGATTTGTGGACGCTCAACTCAGACTTAATATTAAATGACGAAAGTTTTATAATTGATTGATTGATTGATTGCAAGAAACTTCGTTTATATTAAGGCTGCTGTGCAGCCTTCTAACTCTAATTTGAAATTGAGTGACGTAATAGAATTGAGCATGTTTTATGATAGATTTGTTGATTGATTGATTGAATCAAAGTTCTTATTTAAGACAAAAGATTTGTTGGTTGATTGATTGCTTGATTGGGTGAAAAGAGGACTATGTTAAGGCTGATTCTTCGACTCTCAACTAAAATATTAGTTATCATGATATGTGATTGAGTTGAAAATCGTACTTTATGATTGATTGACCGATTGATTGAGTGAAAAGTGGTCTATTTTTCGACACTCAAATCGAATTTTAGACTATATAACAAGTGATAAGAGTTAATGAACGTAGGTTTTTGGAGATTGATTGATTGATTGACTATATCTAGGTCTATATTGAGACTGGTTAGCGGGCTTTCGACTTGAATTTTCGATTTGATGACATGTGACGACCAATTTTTTTTTTTTTTTAAGATCATTACCCTCGACGGTCCCGGTACAATCCTCTTCATCTTCGCCTTGGGGACAATTATTTTTGCCATCGCATCTCATCTCGTCGCAGACGCGAGTGTTGCTGCGGTAGCAGTAGAATGTGGAATCACCTCGGCATTCCGGTTCTCCGGAGCCATCTTCCTCGTCAGTCGGTTCAGTCGTTTCAGGGGCGTTAGGATCTAAGTTGTGTGTAAGTGTGTGCGCGTGTGTGTGTGTGCGTGTAGGTGTAGGTGTAGAGGTGTGTGTGTGTGTGTGTGTGCGTAGAAGGCACGTTAAAAAACAAATTAGCAGTCTTTTAAACAAAAATATTGCGAAGAAACAAAGCACACATAAAATTAAGGGCTGGGACAATGAGCTAGACATAGACAAGGACAACACATAGTGGGAGCACGAGTGAGAGAGAGAGAGAGAGAGAGAGGAAGGGGGGAGGGGGGAGGCAACAAGCAAATGCGAACACAGTTAGGCGTTAGTATATATGTTTTTTTATGCTTAGTTTTTAGAATCCCGAATGGAAATTAGCAAGAATCCTGCATCTAGCTTTTTATGCAGGATTCTCTTGATGTCGTGTCGTTTCACACTCTGCCTGGCATGTCTGCACTGTTGTCATCGCGAAAGGCCAAACTTCTTTTTACTGAAAATGTTGACAGTATTCCCCTCTTAATCTTAATCCAGGCTAAAAAAACTACACTGTGACACAGGACGTACTTAATGACATATCATCGAAAGCAATTGGCTAAGGGACAAGCTCGATGACATGTCACTGAAATTGTCATCGAGCATGCGATAGCCAGCTGGGATGATCAATACAACAGAATGGGAAAGGTTGAGCTGGGTTTTCTTTACTTTTAGCCGGGCTGCAAACCTATAGAAGTGCTTTATATTATGTAAATATTCCGAGAACTGAGGTTTGCAGCGCCGCTTTACAGAAAAAGAGAGCGCTCTGTTAATAACAGTTGCAGTTACAGTTACAGCTATGTTAATTGTTTTCAGATTAGTTGAACGTGCTTTAAAAGTCTTGTTAAGGTTTTGCGTGTGAGCGTGTGTGCGTATGTGTATTTGTGTGTGTGTGTGTGTGTTAGTGTGCAACAAATTTGTAGACTAAACATTATCAAAATTCCCCATCCAAACACAGCGTGCGCACTGACAGAGACAGGGAGAGACAGAGTAGAGAGTGAGGAGGGGGGAAACAAACCCTTATTGATGGGCGTGAGCTGGCACACTTGATTCTCGCCCTCGCCAATGCAATAGATCTCGGTGCGCTTGACCTCTTGCTGTGCACTGCAGAAATCCGGGTTCTCATCGGAACCATCGTCGCAATCCTCCCGCCCATTACAAATATCATAGCAGGGTATATTCGCTATATAACCGCTCTTGCACTGGAAATAATCATTGCTGTCATTGCATTGATCGAAACGCGGCACGCTTGAGCTATCAACGGACGTGGACGTCGCCTCCTGCGGCACGGACTCGGGCACAGGCACAGGCAGAGGCTGGCCGCTGCGGCGTACGCACAGTTCGGGATTCTCATCGGAGGCATCGTCGCAGTCGGCACGTCCATTGCATATGTTGTAGCAGGGTGTGCTCAGTTTATCGCCGCTCTCGCACTGGAAATCATCGTTAACCGATTCGCAGTCGGTGGAATTTGTTATCGAACTCTTTCGATTGCGATGATCGCACAGTTCCGGACGCTCATCGGAGCCATCTTCGCAATTGTTAATGCCATTGCAAATTTCTTTGCAATAGATCTGATACGGACGGCCGCTGTTGCATGTGAAGGGCTCGTCAACGGAATTACACAGATCAACATCGTCATCGGCATCCACATCAACGTCCGCATCGTCATCCTCCTCCGAATAGACCGTGGCCAGCGGCACACTGGGCCTGGCATAGGGATTCGGATAGCGCAACAAACGACGCCGACACATTTCCGCATTCTCATCGGAGCCATCTTCGCAATCGGGCTGACGATTGCAGGTGCTCGTGCAGGGCACGCTCTCAATTTCGCCACTCTCGCAGATGAATTCGTCGATGTCAAAGTCGCTCGGGCTGCTGCACTGGTCATCTGTGTGTGTGTGTGTGTGTGTGTGTGTGTGTGTGTGTGTGTGTGTGTGTGTGTGTTGAGTGTGTGTGTTAAGTGTGTGTGCGTGTGTGTGGGTGAGTGCATTTGAATAGTTTTTAGCCACAGCTACGCATAAGTATTTATTTACAGTGTTGTGCGCAGCTCGAAAAGCTTTTAGTCAGGAGTTTACAATACTACAGCTGAAAGCTTGCACAGATCGGCGTTTTCCAACACCAAAAGCGTTTTCGAATCGTTTCGCATTTCGATATAAGTGAGAAATTGAGAAATTGTGAAAATTAAACTTACCTAATATCAGACGGAAATAGAAATCATCGTCCAGCGAGGCGCTCTGATTGCCAATCCGATTGTATGTCTGCAGCTGATGGCGCAGCTTGCTTTCGAAGTCCAAGACATCGGTGGGTATATCCAGATTGACAATCACATAGCTCTTGTACTGATCGTTTGTCGGGCTAAACGATAAACGCAATTGCAGATTGATATTAGTAACTTGACTTACTTCAATCAAAAATCAAGCAAAATGTGATATACTTTGAAGCCGTGTTTACTATACAAGCGTATATGTATACCAAATTTTGCTCTAAAAGTCTGATTTCGATATCGATATTTATCGATTTTATGGTAACGCAGCAAGTTATCGATTATTTGAACAGAACTTGAGCTTGAAGTCGCTTACTCTAAGATTTTCCGAGCTCAGCAATCGGACAAAACAGATTTATATATATCGATATATGTATCGACTCGACAATGGATGCTGATCAAGAATATATATATATTGTTGGCTCTTTCTGCCTTTTTCATGCATTTGCAATTGAATTCAAAAACACTTTCTATCTATTATCAAAGGGCACAGCAAGTTTGAATACAAATCGATATGTGAAGAAATCGATAAATATCGATTTTAAGATGGGCATTTTTAAGCATAGCTCGCAGCTCAGAAGAGCTAGGGACGCCCAGCTTGGCTTGTATGCTTTCTAAAATAGTTTTCTCAAATCCAGCAGATTTCACACAACGCCCGGTCATTCACACCGGATGCAAGCATACTTTAAGGTCTGGCAATCGACTTACCCGACTTGCAGCAGAGTGGAGCGCAAATCGACATCGTCGTCATCGCCCTCGTAGGTGCGCCGGAAGAGATCGCGCAAACCCCGGCCAATCTCCTCGGTCAGATTGAGAAACTGTTCGCTCCGCTTGTCATTAAAGTCGTTCTCGTACGGCTCATTGACGGTGAATCTTGTGCGGTCTGAAATGTGCGTAAATTACAATTGCAGTCGGACTAAGATTTGCAGTTGTTGAATTCGATTGAGACTCACATAGAACGGTTTCCAGGCCATCGTTGCCGGAGCCCACCTCGTTCTCGTAATCGTCGGAGGCACGTTTCCGGGGACTGACCGGACGTTGCTGTCGTTTCGTGAGTGTCGCACGCTTCTTGAGGGCCGGCTTCTTGGCGCGCTTCTGCCTGTGATGGACATCGTTGCCGCCAAAGAGCCGGTTCAGCTCACGACGCACACGCCTCACGCCCTGATGGAACCAATTGCCCTCCACGGCGGGCTCGTCGCTGAGCGGCGTATACGGCTGCAGATTGTCGGACCCCGTGAACGGAGTCTGATCCTCCAGATCGAAGAACATGTTGTCATTGTCATCGAGACTTGAGATTTGCTGCAATTACAAACATTAAGTTTTAATATTAATACGTGTGTTGCCGCTTCTATTTCAACATATATACTTAAGTTAAAGGATTTAGTGAAAGGCAAGTTGCACGGACTTGGCTATATCGAGTCGAATATATATGTACATATATACATATAAACACATATACATATATATATAAAGAGTTTTATATAGGGATAATTTTTGGGGCCATTAACCGAGCTATAAGAACATTTACTAAAAATTATCAATATACGTCTTTAATTTTGTTTTCGTAAATTTATATTTAATATGCAAAGTCAACAAAAGGTTTGAAACCCAACTAGTACAATTATTGACTTAACTAGAGCTCTATTATTACCGCGATTTTGTTTGGGCATGGAATACTATATACATTATAGTCATATATATATACATATATATATATATACATGAGTTGGCCTGAAAAGCTCCCCACATCAAATTTGATGCACGCAATAGTCAAAGCTTTCAAGCTCTTTGTGGGTTGTGTTCCATGCTAAAAGCAAAGCTTTCACAGTTTAGCATGCACTGCCAGGCACAAGAGCTTCTCAACACAGCGTCACGCGCTGTTAAGCTTAACAGGCAAAAGCTCAGCGCTGTGAAACTCGACTGTTAACTGCGTGCGCGGGGGCTACTTGCAATGTTAAGTGACAAAAAAAACAGTTGAAATCAAATTATGAGGAGGTTGTTGAAGGCAAAATGTAGGGAAGAGTATTTATATAATATAAAGATAAATTCATTAAGCTATAAAAGAAAAAATGAGGTAATATTTACTTTCTTGATATATTTTCTTTCTCACTTTAGCTAATCCAAACTGAAATCTTGACAAAAGCGCACAAACATAAAAGAATAACTCATTTTTAAAGCTAAGGCCTTGCGCTTTGGTATATACACACATTTCTATGCCATATGAAGCCCCAAAAATTTAACATAGATCGGACTTTAAATACCGGAGTTAATCAAGAGTGGATTTCCCATAAAGGGCGAAGACGTGGAAAAGTCATTTGAGATAAGCCTAAAAGTTGCCTTGGAATGAATTAATTTGGTTTAAGCATAGATTTTATATAATCGGAAGCATTGAAAATATTCGCAATAAATAAAATAAATAGTTGACTTCACTTTTTTTTGGTTAATCATTTTTATTGCTGATTATAAACGGGCAATGTGTGTGTGTGTGTGTGTGTGTGTGTGTGTGTGTGTGTGTTTTACGCCATTTGGCCGCATTTCTTGTTCTTGAGGAACTGAATTCAATGACTTGAACTTCTATAAAAAGCATTTACGCAATTTGTGCCCCAATCGAAGAAGCATTTGTTTCTCCTGCCGTTCGATTCCTCAATTAAACCAGTCATAAAGTGCGTAGCAGTGGAGTGTAACCGACTGTTGTATACTCTATGTGCAGTTAAATCTATCGGAAATGAGTCTGACTGTTTCTCGGACTGCTGACTCCAAAACTGTAAGCCCAGAGCAATGATTGTCAAACGGTGCCCGAGAAAAGTTATTCATACAGAGTAACTTTTGTGCAATCGAACTGTTAAAGTGGCAGTCGCTGGTTCTAAAGCTTTGATTTAAAATATTCTCGAGCCAAAGCCATATTTGCTGTTGAAAGGAAGAAATGCGACCTTGACGCTGCTTCTGCAACCAATATGAAGCTCAAACTGTGCGCAGCAGAGCTTGTCAAACTTTCGTTTTCTTAAAAAACAAAGTTTTCTTCAGTTAGCAAAGATTCTTTACAGATTTATATTTTAGGCTAATTTTTTCTCTACATGAGAACAGTTTTTTTCTTTGTAATTTTTTTAGATTTAGGTACTTTTTTTTTGAGTGTACCTTAATTGCAATTTTCTGTTGCATTTTGTTAGTTTTTCCTTCAAAGAATCTCAATCGCTGCCGCATCGATTATTATTTTCCCAGTGACCCATATTTGAAAATGTTTTTCAACATTTTTCCTTTGCTTGATCAATTTATGAGTGCAACAAGTTGCAGCTGGGGCCAGGGGCGTGCGGCAAAGGGAAGGGGGAGGGGGCGCTGGCTATTTTTATACGCCCAATTGAAATTCAAGTGTCAATTCTCTTCGATTTCCCCCTCTCTCTCTCTCTCGCTCTCTGTGCTCGAGACCACAATCTATGCCCATATGCGGTGGATCTTCCTTCACCCAGAGCCCACCCTGCCATATTTCAATTGTGATAAGTCCAAGTAACAGGGAGATATATAAATATATAATATATCTTTAACACTCCGGCAGGAATGCGGTTTTAAAGTCTTGAGTGTATCTTTTTTATGTCTTTTATTTGGTTAAATAAATTTCCTTTTCAGTCGAATATCTTCTTAGATGGCCTTAAAACCAAGTGAATCAGTGGCTTTTAAGCTGTAGCATTTAAATATGTTACGAATGGTTGGGGTCTGCCCAAAAATGCATGTGACAACATGTTTAATTATTATCATTTATTATAATTATCTTTTTATAAATAATACGAAGTAATAGTGCTTCCTAGGCGGAAGTACCCGACTATATACCTTACGAGTATAATTTTGGTAATAACTTCTGTTTTTTCTTTTTTTTATTAAGCAACAAATTACGCAAACTTTAATTAGTCAAACTTTAATTAGTCAAATTTATCCTGCAGTCAAATTTAAATTGAGCCGCAGCTAACTTAACACTCATAACTGAAACAAGCATTTGGCGTTGCCAGATCGCTGCGGCAATTGTTAAAAAGTTAGCAACGCGCTGTTAAGTATATATTTATATATCTTCACCTATATCTTTTATCTGTGTACTGTGCGTCGTGTTGCCTGAGAAATTTATGAAATGTGGGCCAAATGTGCATTGAACAGCTGCGCCAAGCACCCGCCCCCCCACCCCACCAACCGACAACACTGCCACACGCAGAGCTCATTGACAAAAGCCGATAAGGTGGCACAAGATAATGCGTAGCGGGCAGAGATAGAAGGTGTGTGTGTGGGTGAGGGGAGGGGGTAGTGTGTGTGGGGGATGGGGGGTTGTTGCATTTTCATGTCACATAAACGTGAATGCATTAGCTACGCACGAAAATTCTCAGAGCCCCGAGAATAGACAGGGCGGAAATGCAGCACTTGAAATTCTGCTGAAATTTCATCAATCAAAAATCGAAATAAAATCGAAAACGAACACAAAAACAACAACAACAACAACAAACAAACAAGCAACTTAAAAACAACAACAACAAAGTTGAACAAACTTTTGTGTTCGTTAATTTGTATACCCTAACTGAGAGTATTTCCAGTTTATGATCAAATATGCAACACATAGCAGCAAACGTCTTGCAATCTATATCTATATCTATATCTATATCTATATCTATATCTATATCTATATCTATATCTATATCTATATCTATATCTATATCTATATCTATATCTATATCTATATCTATATCTATATCTATATCTATATCTATATCTATATCTATATCTATACCTAGGCTACAAGTGTATTCAATCTTCGGCGTGCCGCAGACAGCCCTTCTCTCTGGTTCTCATGCCTTTCGCTTTTGTTGTTCGATTGTTGTTGTTGTCATTGCCTTTTAGCGTTGTCTGCGCTGCGTCTGCGACATTGTCTGGGCCCCAAAATTGGAGACTCTACGTGCAGTACTTATTGCGGGAGGAGGGGCTGTAACTGCCATATCGATAACATTTTGATTGGGCCGGCGTAGATGGGGGCTTATAAAACTGCATAGTCACGTGTCGCGTCTTTGAACTTTTTGTTTAGTGTTTTGCCAAGTTTGCTGCTTCTTGTTGCTGTTGTTGTTGTATGTGATTGTGTGAGTGTGTGTGTGTGTGTGTGTGTGTGTGTGTGTGTGTGTGTGTGTGTGTGTGTGTGTGTGTGTGTGTGTGTGTGTGTGTGTGTGTGTGTGTGTGTGTGTGTGTGTGTGTGTGTGTGTGTGTGTGTGTGTGTGTGTGTGTGTGTGTGTGTGTGTGTGTGTGTGTGTGTGTGTGTGTGTGTGTGTGTGTGTGTGTGTGTGTGTGTGTGTGTGTGTGTGTGTGTGTGTGTGTGTGTGTGTGTGTGTGTGTGTGTGTGTGTGAGTGTCAATTGGAGCCTGATTATGCCCAAATGGCAACGCTTAACAGCACAAGTGTCCACTCCTATAATTCGCATGCCCTTTAGGCATATATACTCATGATCAGTAAGAAGAGACGGTTCGATTAAGTCAGGTCTAGACAAAATGAGGCTAGAAGCCCAAAAATATTATTATCTATAAAACAATTTTGTTTGGCATTAGGGGCGAAAAAGTGAAACAATTTGGCGTCTGTAGCTCAAAATCTGCTCAACAAACAAACTTCGATCACGATTTCCAATCGATTTAAAGAAAACGCAAAAAGTTATCGATGATTTGAAACAAACTTGAGCCAGGGCTATTAAAATTCTCAGACACATTTGAATATTATCCATGGTCAGTTTGTTGCAAAGTTCACGTACTAAAGAACTATCGATGCTATCGATAAATTTTAAATGTTCTCTTAAACAACTTATAAGCACAATGAAACTGAAGTGTGGCCTATATTAAAGCACAATTCCCTTGCCCTACATTAAGCCAGCGTGCTCCATGGTCACTTAAACAGTTTATGTGCTGAGGAAATGTGTTATCGATAACTTTAAATACTATCGAATTGTTGTTCAAGTAGTGTGAAGTCCAGTTTAAAGCAAGGTGAAAGTGAAAGTGATTGAGGTACTTCAATAATAGACTTCTCTGCACTAGTTCAGGCAGTCGTCCTCCATGTTCAGTTTGTTGCAAAGTTCATGTACTAAAGAACTATCGATGCTATCGATAAATTTGAGTACTGTCAACTCTTCAACTTGTTTTAAGCAGTATTTAATCGAAATGCGGCCTATTTACCAAACAAATTCACTTGTACGACATTAAGCAGGCGTCCTCCATGGTCACTTTGTTGATTGTTGGAGAGCTAATGAATAAATCAAATAGTGCAATGATTTATGCATAATTGTTGCATGTGGC